GTACAAAATACTGAAACCCATGCATTGAAATCAGTTCTATCTATTCTCAAGTCATTTCTCAGAGTGGGTTTTTTACCACCAAGAAGAAAAGTAGCTAGTAAAGGAAAAAAGAAAAAAAAAAAACGGTTGTGATACATTGAAGAAATGTGTACCAAAATCATAAATTGAGGTAGACACGTGGTATTAATGAAATAATATCTCCAAAAATAGTCATTCAATCTGTTTTCCCTGAGCTGAAGCCTTCTAAGAAGGGTCTAAAGCTTTCTTATTGACTTAAGCTTGGTGGGATCATGGCATTTAAGTGCCTAATCCAGCACATCTCTCGCTTGTTCCAATCCCCACCCTTATCGGGATGTGAACTCTGTCCAAAACTGAAAAAACGACTTTTTGGCATTCTATACTTGTGGATTTTAGCCACATGTCTGCTTAGAAGTAAGTATAAATTCACAATTTGCATGCTATAGAGATGTTTATACATGCGTCTCCAGAATTACTGACGTATTTTCCCTACATAAAAGAATCCACACTTGCATTGTATGAGATACACTACTCCTTTAGTTTTACAGTTAGAAAAATGTTTTGAAATGAATTTTTCACCTTTTGGAAGAATCGTTGTTTACAGTTACTGACAAGGGACAATATGTACGATCACCACACAAAAAGTGCCCACCTGTTTACAGGGATCTCCTTTTGTTTGTGTGTGTTTATAATATATTTGAAAACAATGTTTGTTTTTTCATTGAAATATTATTCGCTGTAATGTGGATATAGTTGACTATGATAAGAACCTTATATTACAGAGTGGTATGATTTCCCTGAGGAAGGAGCTAATGAAAAAAAAACTTTGAAATGCGTAGGATACCCCAAGCTAACCTACCAACAACCAATCGATTTATGGCTTTATACATCTGTATATTTGCATGCATATTCTGCAGTGGTGGTTAGTAGCCACTTGCCACTTGAATTTCACCTGCTTTCTGCTTAAATTTGAGCCATAGGTAGCCGTCGTCATCACCTGGCTTGACAAGTTGATTTGAAAATCAACTGAACAGGGTGGAAAATTATCAGCTGAACATTAACTGCATCCTATCAGTTGCAATCACTGCTCAGATATTCAGACAGCTGTGGCTGCCTGGGTATGAGTTCAGAAATCCACTTGTGCATGGCTAGCTAGCCTGATCCAGAAAACCTGCTCTGGTTTTGTGGGCCAGCCATTTTATGACTTATAAAGTATATGTCAAACTAATTTTTTAGCTGAAGAGATCTGTTCTATAGTTTGATTGAATTATGGTATAATGCATTGTTTTTCTTTACAGCAAGTTGAAGTTGATGGTCAGCAATGTATGCTCGAAATATTAGACACTGCAGGAACGGTATGTTTGATTTTATACATACTTTGGATGTTCTCAGTATGAGTTTATACTATTGAACATGTTTTTATTTTTCTTTAGGGTGGCAAAGTCACAACCTCTACCTCATCCTGCCAGAGAGGATTGCATTCATTGAGGAAATGCAAACTGTTCTGGCACACATGCCAAGCAAGAGACCTTCTGTATTCCCTAAGCAGCAGGGCAGCCACTCAATAGTGGTGTCTGCTAACCGATAATGGAAAATATGTGCCGCTCAGGCTTCAAGGGAAAATATGTGCCGCTCAGGCTTCAAGGGAAAATATGTGCCGCTCAGGCTACAAGGGAAAATATGTGCCGCTCAGGCTACAAGGGAAAGCAATCCTGTGTCCACCACCTGTGAGTGCAGGGCAGGGAAGAAGCTCATCTCAGTTCCAAACTACTGTTAAGCAAAGGATGGATCCCATGAAGCTGCACATCTATGCAAACCCACTGGAATTGAAATAAATGGCAGTCTCTGCCTGGGCTTCCATACATTTCATTCCACCCATTGAAGTTTAATCCTGGGTATCCCCATGCCTAAGCTCCAAGTGGTAGAGTGAAACGCGTTTGTGGTGTGGCCTGCTCGGAGCCCAGGCTGACACTGCCATTCATTTCAATACCAGCAGGTGTGCATAGATGTGCAGCTTCATGGGATCCATCCTTTTCTAAACAGTGGTGTCTGCTACAGTAGTTTTCCGCTTCCATGATGATCAGCCAGGTATAGAACATGCATACTTACATTGGTCCAAACTGGACCAATGTAACTTTGCAAAAATATCCATACCTGGAATTCAGCCTTAAAATAAATAAATAAAAAGGAAGTGCTGAGCATGTGTAAGACAGGAGTGTAAAGGGTATGACGGTGGGCCGCATGTATGAGAGGAGTGTGTGGGGGTATGACAATGGCCAGTGTGTGCAGGAGAGCCATTCTGAGAGTTTGCAGTATGTGAAGGAAAGGAGAGGCTCAGGGTATGACCGCAGAAGTGTGGTTGTGGGGGAGGTGTTATCGAAATTGGTAACGGTTAGCTGTGTTTTTTTTTTTTATTTTAGTTAAAGTGTTAATAAACCCGCAACAGTAAAATCAGTCTGTATATGCAGTAAAGCATGCTTGTTAAACTCACTGTGGACCCTAAGGGGTTAATCTTGGCTGTTTGATCCTGTCTTCTCTGATCCTCATCTTCTTCTACTGTCCCCAAGCCATCTGCTGATAGTACAGAGCCATAGGAGTCATTCTGCACATGATCAGTTTAGTGTGTATGGCTAGAGAGGTTTTTTTTTTTTTTCTTCTTTGGGATGGTGCATGTGATTAGCGCTGAGGGTTAATGCAGCCTCATAGAGTAGAATGAAAACTCTTCAAACGTCACAGGACTGCTATATACTGCTGCTAAGAAAAGGTATTTAGCAGTTTATATGTACTAAAATGATAGCATTTCCATGATCCAAAAATGATAGCATTTCCATGTGTACTGTGGGAGACCAGATATAGTGAATGCAGGGTTATGGGTTTAGTAACACTTTAATTTTTTATCACACTCACACACTCTCCCCTCACATTTTTGTAAATATTTTATTCTATCTTTTCATGTGACAACACTGAAGAAATGACACTTTGCTACAATGTAAAGTAGTGAGTGTACAGCTTGTATAACAGTGTCAATTTGCTGTCCCCTCAAAATAACTCACACAGCCATTAATGTCTAAACCGCTGGCAACAAATGGCAGTACACCCCTAAGTGAAAATGTCCAAATTGGGCCCGAAGTGTCAATATTTTGTATGGCCACCATTATTTTCCAGCATTGCCTTAACCCTCCTGGGCCTGAAGTTCACCAGAGCTTCACAGGTTGCCACTGGAGTCCTCTTCCACTCATCCATGCTGACATCACGGAGCTGGTGGATGTTAGAGACCTTGCGCTCCTTCACCTTCCGTTTTGAGGATGCCCCACAGATGCTCAATAGGGTTTAGGTCTGGAGACATGCTTGGCCAGTTCATCACCTTTACCCTCAGCTTCTTTAGCAAGGCAGTGGTCGTCTTGGAGATGAGTTTGGGGTCGTTACCATGTTGGGATACTGCCCTGCGGCCCAGTCTCTTAAGGGATGGGATTATGCTCTGCTTCAGTATGTCACTATACATGTTGGCATTCATGGTTCCCTCAATGAACTGTATTTCCCCAGTGCTGGCAGCACTCATGCAGCCCCAGACCATGACACTCCCACCACCATGCTTGACTGTAGGCAAGACACACTTGTCTTTGTACTCCTCACCTGGTTGCCGCCACACACGCTTGATACCATCTGAACCAAATAAGTGCATCTTGGTGTCGTCAGACCACAGGACATGGTTCCAGTAATCCATGTCCTTAGTCTGCTTGTCTTCAGCAAACTGTTTGCGGGCTTTCTTGTGCATCATCTTTAGAAGAGGCATCCAATTTGATGCAGTATGCGGCGTATGGTCTGAGCACTGACAGGCTAACCCCCCACCCCTTCAACCTCTGAAGCAATGCTGGCAGCACTCATATGTCTGTTTCCCAAAGACAACCTCTGGATATGATGCTGAGCACGTGCACTCATCTTCTTTGGTCGACCATGGCGAGGCCTGTTCTGAGTGGAACCTGTCCTGTTAATCTGCTGTATGGTCTTGGCCACCATGCTGCAGATCAGTTTCAGGGTCTTGGCAACCTTATAGCCTAGGCCAACTTTATGTAGAACAGCAATTTTTTTTCTCAGATCTTCAGAGAGTTCTTTGCCATGAGATGCCATGTTGAACTTCCAGTGACCAGTATGAGAGAGTGAGAGCGATAACACCAAATTTAACACACCTGCTCCCCATTCACACCTGAGACCTTGTAACACTAACGAGTCACATGACACCGGGGAGGGAAAATGGCTAATTGGGCCCAGTTTGGACATTTTTACTTAGGGGTGTACTCACTTTTGTTGCAGTGGTTTAGACATTAATGGCTGTGTGTTGTGTTATTTTGAGGGGACAGCAAATTTACACTGTTATACAAGCTGTACACTCACTACTTTACATTGTAGCAAAGTGTCATTTCTTCAGTGTTGTCATGTGAAAAGATTTAATAAAATATTTACAAAAATGTGAGGGGTGTACTCACTTCTGTGAGATACTTTGTATGTATATATGTGTGTGTGTGTGTGTGTGTATATATATATATATATATATATATATATATATATATATATATATATAGACACACACACTATATTGGCAAAAGTATTGAGACGCCTGCCTTTACATGCACATGAACGTTAATGGCATCCCAGTCTTGGTCCGTAGGGTTCAGTATTGAATTGGCCCACCCTTTGCAGCTATAACAGCTTTAACTCTTCTGGGGAAGGCTGTCCACAAGGTTTAGGAGTGTGTCTATGAGAATGTTTGCCCATTCTTCTAGAAGGGTATTTGTGAGGTCACGCTCTAATTCATCCCAAAGGTGTTCTATCGGGTTGAGGTCAGGACTCTGTGCAGGCCAGTCAAGTTCCTCCACCCCAACCTCGCTCATCCATGTCTTTGTGCACCAGTGCACAAAGCAAAGTCTATAGTCATGTTGGAACAAGAAGGGGCCATCCCCAAACTGTTCCCACAAAGTTGGAAGCATGAAATTGTCCAAATTGTCTTGGTATGCTGACGCCTTAAGAGTTCCCTTCACTGGAACTAAGGGGTCAAGAGCAACTCCTGAAAAACAACCCCACACCATAATCCCCCTCGACTGAACTTTACAATTGGCACAATGCAGTCAGGCAAGTACCGTTCTCCTGGCAACCGCCAAACCCAGACACGTCCAACGGATTGCCAGACAGAGACGTGTGATTGCTCACTCCAGAGAACACGTCTCCACTGTTCTAGAGTCCAGTAGCAACGTGCTTTACACCTCTGCATCCAATGCTTTGCATTGCACTTGGTGATGTAAGGCTTGGATGCAAACGCTTGGCCATGGAAACTTATTCCATGAAGCTCTGTACGCACTGTTGTCGTAATCTGAAGGCCACAGGAAATTTGGGGGTCTTTCGCTATTGACTCTGCAGACAGTTGCGCTGACCCCGCTCTGTCATTTTATGTGGCCTACCACTTCGTGACTGATTTGCTGTTGTTCCCAGTTGCTTCCACTTTGTTATAATACCACTAACAGTTGACTGTGGAATATTTAGTAGCAAGGAAATTTCATGGATGGACTTATTGCACAGTTGGCAACCTATCACAGTACCACGCTTGAATTCACTGAGCTCCTGAGAGCGACCCATTCTTTCACAAATGTTTGTAGAAGCAGTCTGCATGCCTAGCTTGATTTTATACACCTGTGGCCATGGAGGTGATTGGAACACCTGAATCCAATAATTTGGAGGGGAGTCACAATACTTTTACTTTTGGCAAGATAGTGTGTGTGTTACATATTCTGAGCAGTTTGGTTACGGATAAGTTCTGTTTTGATCCAATCCAAGTGGGGAAATATGTAGACATATAAAATGTGTGTATCATAGTTATATAAAATTAGTAAAATGTATCTAATGTACTGTATATACATTTGTGTATGTGAAGTTGACACACATAGCTGACCAGACAAACTGTAATTTTTTACATCAAAAGGATAGAATAAGGACTCCTCACTATGCAAGCGGCAATTGCCTTACCTTTGCTGTGTTGGGTAAATAGATTGGAAAGGGTCTTAAATATTCGTGATGCACTTGTTTATGAGAAATAGACTTTTTAAAGAGGTAGAGTCGTTACCTATGCAAGAAAGGTAAAAAATGCAATTTTTCCTTAAACAATACAAGAAGTATATGGTAAATAGGTTTAAGGCGTCTTAAATATTCATAGTGTACTTCAAAGCGGGTATCCTGTCAACCTTTGTACAAGAATGTTAAAAGATTGCAGTTTTGCCATAAACAAGACAAGGAATATCTATTTAACTTTTTAACTAACCTCCTCCCGCTTACTATATAAGGAAATGACGGGCGGGCGGCGGCGGCTGTCTCATTTTGGGAGGACTCTAACTGCGCATGCGTGCCGCAGGGGCACGCAGCAATCAGTGGTGTGCTGTGTCCCCGGGACACAGCAGATCGCCGATCACTGTAAAGAGCTGATGAAACAGGCTCTGTCATGTGATCAGCTGTGTCCAGTCACAGCTGACCGCATGTGAACAAGGAAATGCGGTTATCGGCAGTCCTCTCCTCATGATGACAGTGCGTGAGGAGAGGAGAGCCGGTAAGCTGCTTTCCTCAGAGGGGACATCTACACTGATGATCAGTGTAGCCCCATCAGTGCCACCTGTCAGTGCCCATCAATGCCACATATCAGTGCCTACTAGTGCACATCAATGCCTCATATCAACCAGTGATGCCTGCCAATGCCCATCAGTGTCGCCTATAAAATTACTTATTTACAAACTTTTATAACAGAAACTAAGAAAAAACTTTCTTTTTTTTTTCTCAAAATTTTCAGTTTTTTTTTTTTTTTTTTTTAGTTTAGCAAAAAATAAACCCAGTGTTGATTAAATACCTCCAAAAGAAAGCTCTATCTGTCTCAAAAAAAAGATAAATATTTTGTTTGAGTACAGTGTTGCATGACCACACATTTGTCATTCAAATTGCGACAGCGCTGAAAGCTGAAAATTGGTATGGACAGGAAGGGAGTAAAAGTTGCCACATAAGATCAAAGATGCTCATAAAACCAACCAATCAGATTGGTTAATGGGGAAAAGCTGTATATTAGGATAGGGTATTTTGGCTGTATCATCAGAGCAGGATTAGGTATGTTGAAGGCCTCTGATCATTGTATTATTTGTAGATACTTTGTGGACTCTGCTCTGTGCTTGGAACCAATAAATGCAAGCCTCTCTGGAGAACCATGTTGCTGTGGGAAAAATTAATTTCTCGGATAGAGGAGATTTACATTACATATCTGCTAGCAAACTGTGGTCTCAGCAACAATAATTATAATTATCATATATAATATATCTCAACAGACATTAGAAGTATTTGTAAAAGTTTTAAACTACACCAATAAAAAGTAAAAGATGAAACCGCCAACCGCCATTATGGCCCTTTTGTGTTACTGTCAGTGATGGGATTTACCCTCAAGGAGGTTGACATGAGACATTTCCTTTTTTTTTTTTTTTGGTTGTTTATTGCCATGATATAAACGCTGTAAAATCTCAATGTCTGTCGATACTCCGGTAATAAGAAATAAATGGAGTTTTTAAACAAATGGCTTTAGATACTCTACCTACATTTTAGTTTGTGTTATTTTATGCCCATGAACGCCTTATTGACCAGCATTTGTATTTCTTTTAATGCAGGAGCAATTCACAGCGATGCGGGATCTTTATATGAAAAATGGACAGGGCTTTGCTTTAGTGTACTCCATAACTGCACAGTCTACATTTAATGATTTACAGGACCTTCGAGAACAGATCCTACGAGTCAAAGACACTGATGATGTAAGCAGCTTTTTGGAACATTACAGAGGAAGTCTTTCTTTTTCTTTATATATTGGTCCATCTTTCTCTCTTTCTGTTACATATTTTCTTCCTCGGCTTGAGGTTAGTGTAAAGCAGGAGTGCTTAACCTTTTGAAGGGCGAGGGCCACTTAACAAATTTGATAATTAGCCGTGGGCCACAGTATCTTCCAAACTGCAAATGTAAAGGAGCCTTTACGGTTCTGAGTCCTCTATAAGGCATTTTACACTGATGGCATGATAATGGCGCATACACGTTCTGGGAAAATGTCGTCTGATAAGCATAAGGGCAGTTAACATGACTGACAAAAGGACACTGCACACACGATTGTGACCTGGAATAACAAAACATCTGCTGCAAAAATGACTGCAAAGACTGAGATTGAGCTCTGCAGTTACTTTTGCGGCACCATATATGCCGTCATAACCTTTGATACTGTACCTTGCCACACGGCAATTGACAACTTCAGTCACAGAGGCACCAGTTAAGCAGGCACCAACAATTTGCCCTCTTTGAGGCTCAATAAGCTCTGACATGACTCTGTATTACTAGCAGCACATGCACTGAATGACAAAAGTGAGGCTTCTCATCTGTTAGCATGGTGTCTCATCACACAGCAGAAGCAAAAGAATGTTACATCACTTCCGCTTTCAACGCGAAACGTGTCATCACTTTCACACCTGAAAATCATGTAGTGTTTCCATTTTTTTTGTCTAACCCCTGTATCTACTGTGTCTCATGTGAGTATATCCAACTCTTCCTTTTGGGTTTATCATTTATTTTATATTGTGAGCAATGCAACATCAGTAGCTGAAACACACAAAAGTAGCCAGGAATACGCACATTTTCCAGGTGGATGAAAATTGTTTGTCTCTTGGAGTAGCCAAAATGTATATTAAACCAGGGGGTGACTCAGTTTGCTGACGTCCATCTATTTGGGCTTACTGCTGCCATTTCCTTCAAGGGGGATGGACCTGTGACCTGATGCTTTGTAGGGTGTCAACTTTATAAACTTCTGTAAAAAAATTTCAACAAATAGCAACAAGCCAACAAATTCTATACATTGGCTTGATCTAGATTATTATTAATAATAGAAAAAAAAAAACTTTATATGAACAAACTTTACCTGTAGCTCTAGTAAGTTAACTCTAGGCTGCTTTGCCAGCATGCGGAATGACCATTTGGTCAAATAGTGGTTGATTTACTTAAACTGGAGAGTGCAAAATCTGGTGCAGCTGTGCATGATAGCCAATCGGCTTCTAACTTCAGCTTGTTGAATTGAGCTTTGTCAAAAAAAAAAATCCTGGATGCCGATTGCTTTCTATGCAGAGCTACACCAGATTTTGCACTGCAGTTTTAGTAAATCAACCCCACAGTCTCTTCTGATGTAAAGGATTGTGGGGGAGAGGCAGAGTTTCTGATTTGCCTTAATATTGAGGCTCTACCTTCAATCAGTACTGCAAGACCCTTTGGCAAGGGAGCACATTGTCAGTAGTATGGCGTTTTTATGTGATCACCTGACATAGCTAAATTCTGTTGACAGTCTAAACAAGAGCAAACTGCAGTTACTATGGGGTTGATTCACTTAAACTGGAGAGTGCAAAATCAGGTGCAGTTGTGCATGGTAGCCAATCAGCTTCTAACTTCAGCTTGGTCAATTAAGCTGTGACAAATGTACCTGAAAGCCAATTGGTTTCTATGCAGAGCTGCATAAGATTTTGCATTCTCCACTTTTAGTAAATGAACCCCTAAGTGTTTCTGAAACTCAAAGAAAACGAAAAACTTCCATTACTTGACTATGGCTGTGTTTTCTACTTTAAGCTGTTTTCTTATACTGATTTTAGCCAAAAGCTAGCAAAAGTGTGTCTATTTATTGAATGTTTAAGGTGCTGAAAGTGAGTGAATCATTTGCTTTTATAAACTGAGAAGTATAACAAAAAGTCAATATCCGTTACTTATGTACAGTATATATAGTTAATATATTGATTTATAAAAGGACTTGAAATTGTAAGATTTGTAAAAATAATTTTTCTTCTACAGGTACATTGGTTAAAGTGGTTGTAAAGGCTCAAGGTTTTTTACCTTCATGCATTCTATGCATGAAGTTAAAAAACCTTCTCTGTACAGCATCCCCCCATTCCACCCAATACTTGCCTAAGTCCCCTCTTGATCCAGCGATGTGCACAGGAATCTCGCCTGTCCCGGGATTCCCTTTTCTCATTGGCTGAGGCCAGTCATAGCCAGTGAGCTAATGAGGACGGGGAATGGGGCCGAGCCACCACTCCATGAATGGACACACGGAGCAGTGGCTGGGGAGTGCACATGCTCGGATACCCCCATAGCAAGCTGCTTGCTGTGGAGCCACCCAACAGGAGGGAGGGGCCAGGAGTGCCTGCAGGGGACCCAAGAAGAGGAGGATCTGGGCTGCTCTGTTCAAAGCCACTGCACAGAGCAGGTAAGTATAGACATGTTTTATTTAAAAAAAAAAAAAATTAGGCCTTTAGAATCACTTTAGGATACATATAAGACATTTCCGAGTCGTGCAAGCTCATCATGTAGTTTGTGAGAAAAGCAGGGACTGCTGGACTTTATCAGATTATTTAACGTTACCTTCTTTGCGATTTAATCATTTAGATATTTTTCATTTTAATGGAGTCGTTTTAACTTCTTTGCCTAGTTCCAAGGTGTGCTGAGCCACAATTCTACCACTTTCTATTAGATACACTCCTATGTAAGGCTTATTGATACAAAGTATACATGTCTGTTAGACCAGTGAGAAGCACCTGCAGAAAGTCATACTGCAGCTCAAATAAATTACA